GGACTACGTTAGTTAAGTGTACACTGGAAACTTTTTTGTAGATAGAATGCGGTTGCGTTCGGGAGGAGGATGTTAAGAATATGTTATGCTGCATGATGAAACATTTTAAATAGCAAAATGAAAATTATATTCACAGAACAGCTTCTTGAGCAATGTTAGTCTCATATAACATATATTCTGTTGCAATCTTCATGACATGAATAGATATCACGATTCAATTGAAAATTTGTATGCCAACTAAAGGCCCTGTTACACTATATGCAATGCAATTTTTCTTGCAACTTGCAATGCAATTCTTCTTTTGAGAGATGTAAATTCCGCTACTACCGAATTTTTATCTTTATTACACTCCATGGCGTTTTTTACACTTATATTTTGAGAACTCTTCACTAATTTACATCTCTTAAAAGTAGAATTACGTTGCAAGTTGCAAAAAAAATTACACCGTGTAACCATAGGCAGCCCAGACTTTGACTTGCGCGTGTGATACTCGCGCGCGTGTTGCGCTTACGTTGTTTACTTCGTCTATATATTATGACAAGCTAGGAAAGAGTTTATCAAAACATTACAGATATACCTTCGTAAATGTATAATTATCTAAAAAATTACCTGAAGAAACGCCACAAAAACTACAACCTAATAATCACCGATGTTAATAAACTACATTATCATGCATGTTTTTAAACGACATCTAAAGGCTCCAAATTAGCGAAATAAAACAGGAATTCATACGGAATTTTGAGAAAACTATCCGAAAGCCACTCCGCCTAAGGAAACGTCATCTTTTTTGGGATATTAGCTAAACGCTCATTGGCTTACCTGCAGGGTCACTAATGAGAACCAATAAGCGTTTAGGTGTTAAGATAATACCTTATTATTTAGATAATACCTAAACGATCATTGGTTCTTATTGGTGGTCCTGCAGGTAAGCCAATGAGCGTTTAGCTAATATCTCAAAAAAGATGACGTTTTCTTAGACGGAGCATAGACAATCCAGAAGTCTTCGTTACTCATGCCGTTTGTGTTGTCAAAAACGTCGCTTGCTTAAGCTCACTAATAAGTGTCAAATAACATTCGTTGCGAAAAATCGACACTCGGTGGCAGAACGTTGTTATGTCTTAAGTTATTATCTAACATCGTCCAATATTTCGAATAATATTTACTAAAACTTTTTCCTTTAATTAGGTTCAACTTAGTTTAGCTGTTCAAAGAGTCCATAGTTCCACCAGTCCCCCTGTTTCTCGATTCCCCATTTCTACGATTCTCCGATTCCCAATTCCCCAATTCCCCGTTCCTCCTTTTAAAAATAGCCGTTTCCGTTTCCAAACAATAGGTGTTAAATAACATTCGTTGCGCAATCTTTATCGACACTTGGTGACAGAACGTATTATCTAAGATCGCCTAATATTCCGAGTCTAAGCTATTTAGATATTCAACCATGGCATGGAACATCGGAAGCAATTTTCTGGCCCTTGCAATCGCTCTAACATTTCTCATATTGCTGTGGAAAGCGGTGAATTACCTGTTTAATAAATCAGACGTTCCAAGCCCTAAAGGAGATTGGTTTATAATTGGGCATTTGCTTGAAATTAGGAAAAGCAAAGACATGATGCAAACTTTCGACGAATGGGTGAAAACCTACGGACCGATAGTTCAATTTCGACCACTGGGGATATTTGGTAAGCACGAATGCCAATTTAATAATGGTAACAGAACGAATAGGAGTGCTATTAATGGCAAAATCATACGAGTGATTACAAAATCAACCGACCGCGGAGCGGAAGTTGATTTGTTAATCACCGACCGCGTAGCGGGAGCGTAAATCCATTGGCGTAAATCTATGTCGAAAAGTGGGGGGGGACACCTCAGTTTGCATAGATTAGTTAACGCATATGATTAACTGCTACGTAACACATGAAACAAGAAACATACAACACATGAAACCACTACTTCTTTGATCTAAATTTGTATACAATGTTATCTCTAAAAAAATAAGTAAGTAAATAAATTGAAGGAACCCGTTTTTCCGTTTTGACCTAGATGCTAAATAAGAAAAATTACAATTTTAAAAGCATTTTCGTATGAAACGTACGTATGAAAAAATAAGTAAGTGGAGAGCAACCCATTAGCGGCGAAAAAGTGTTTTCACGTAAAAGATCACTCAATTTTATCGGCAATACAACTACATAAACAGAAAGTCATAACATTCTTACCCTTTTCTCCGCGTTTTACCCTTTTTACCCCTTTTTGTATTATTTTACCCCATAATATGGTATTGTCAAATCAATGTGTGTTAATTTATTTTAAATTTACGTATTACGTTGTTAACTTTATTGTGAATATCTCGCTTGAAAATATTTCCTTTAACAGTAACATTTAAAAGTCGTTTTGTTAGCACCAAGTCTTTTATCTTTAAAAAACCTAAAATGTACATTGATTTTACATTTTGTCAATAAGATTTGTCCCCGTGAAATATATACAAATACTACAAATACTTCAAATACTACAAATATACAAATACTATATACAGATACTATCTACAAATAGCTATATACAAATACTACAAATTCCATGCAGGGGTGTACGGGAGACGATAATTGGGGGGGGGCACATATTCATATATTCATGTTGTGCATGATTAATTACTTTATGAAAATATGAATGAGTTCCCCCCCCCCATTATCGTCTCCCGTACGCCACTGATTCCTTGGAAATCTAATTGGATTCCTTGGACACATGTGATTCAATTTTTAATCAAATTATAGGCAAAACATATCACATAATTAGCGACGCTGATGCTCTGAAACAAATCTTGGTGTCCAATACCTTCAAGTATGAAAAACCGAGAGGTCTAGAAGGAAGCTTCCCAGCAAAACACGTGATGTTTGCAAATGGAAAGGAACATTCCAGAATGAGGAAAATGCTTAACCCGGCATTTAAAGTAAACAACTTAAAATCTATGGTTGGATGTTTTCAGAAAAAGGCCAATTCACTTGCAGAGGTAATTAATATGTTCCTAACATAGTGTTACCAGGGTAGGAGGTTGATCGAAACATTGGTATGACAGGTTTATATTGATATTATACAGAAACCTCTTGCACAATTTATTACTCAGTTTTTATCTTTTTTTGAAACTGACTTTACTGGTCATTGCTTCAAATATGGCGACTGGGTTATTGCTCATTTTTAAAGAGGCCATTGGTATCCATAGTGTTTCAAAAAACTGCAACCACTTGATATTCATATATCTTCGCTTCTATTCAATAGCAAAAGGTCCCAGGTTGTACTTTTTGTCTCCAATTTCTTTATTGAGGTTAGTTTACGATCTACGACGCGGTTATCTGATCTTGTTCGACGTCGCTAGTCAAATATTTGCTTGAAATAAGCTACGGGAAATTATTTATGCTGCCAGGACTCTGAAATATTCATACAAACGTTGCAATGTCATTCGCTGTCAATGCTATCGACCATATCGAGTAGTTGGAGGTGTTGCATATCAAATCATAGATTGGTTTGAAGTTACTGGAACAAATTATAACCATGCTGTTGACACTCTTAAGCATCGACGTGGTAGGACACCGCGGAAATTGGTATAGGCTTAGCCGCAATTCTCGATACTTAGACTTCAAACTTGGTGAGGAAAAAGATTTATAAATATTCAAGAAAATATGTCTTGCACAAAAGATTTGAAGCTTGCACACGGTAAAAACGAATCGTCTGAATTAATAACCTTGTGTATACTTTAAGCCTCAAAATGGCCATTTCACAGCGGTCAGATGTGTATGATGAGCTGTCAAAAGATTGCAGAATGCGTATTCAGAAGAAAAATTGAACTTTTTTAAGATATTCAAAAGGTTTCTCTTTGATAGGGCGATACAGAAATGCACAATTGTGAACCAGCGATTAGATTTTCGGGTTGAAATGTCTTAAACACCAATTTCTGCGGTGTCACGTGGTAGCGACTTCATCATCAGTGGAGTCAATTATACAATTTAAGCCTAGAGTAGATGCAAAAGAACCATCACACCGTGAGCTACATGACACTCTGAAGAGTGAAAGCTTGAGTGAAAGCCCAAAAGATCATACCTGCATACTCCTTCCTCCAGTATTTCAGATGAAACTCTCTCTTGAGATATGTGAAATATGGGAATGAGAGATATCTGATATGGATGACGAGTAAATTGATTTAGACCTGTTTTTTAAATTTCTTAATAAGCAGGTGATCTCAATGGAGGCTAGGCAAAGAAGTGCCAAGGGGAATAATGGTGTTTCTCCAAAAGGGAAGGACAAGACTGAAAAAGACCAGTTGCTGAGAAACTGGAAGAATCCCTGCTCTCTAAAGCAGCTGCCCTTTTAACTGAGATCAGCCAAGGAATAAATACCAATAAGACATGTGATTTATGTAAGACCATTGGGCTCTGGAACGTCCAAAGTTTAATGCGCAAACCGTGGAAGACCGATAAAGGCCAGTCAAAGAAGCTCGGCTGTTTTTCAATTGTCTTAGATCTGCCAATAGCAACCACTATTCATAAGTCTGCTGACAGCTAAAGTGTGGAGTTGAAAACTGTAAAGAACGCCATCATCGACTTTTACATCGCTCGAAATCAGCAGCTGGTATATATAACAACTTTGCTGCAAACTTGATTAAGGATGTGTAAACCATACCTGTCCGAGTGATTCTGGGAGCCAAAGGTTCTAATCATCATACATCACTTGATATTAGAGATCCCATATAGAGACTTTCAATGTGTCAACATTTAGCGAAACTAAAACCCAAACAAAGAAGATTAGAGGGGGGTTAATATATCACTCAGTCCAGCAGAAAGGCCCTATTGAGATGTAAGCTGTCACTGTCGATATGATATGCCAACCCTTAGAACAAATCGTATTGGATATGAAAGCAAATCCACACCTTGCCACTCCCACATTTACTGAAGTTTGTCCGAGAGGCTCTGCCGAAGTGGACATTCTGATAGGTTTAGATTATTATTTCTTATTCGTGGTTGGTGAATGCATAAACCAGACACTCTCACAGCTGTGAATTCCACACTTGGATGGATTGTGTCAGCGCCTTTAGGTGGTCGATCGACTAACAATACCACTGCAATGTTTACCAGTGTTCGTCCCGATCCTGTGGAGAAAATTCTGAAGAGCTTTTGAATTTAGATTCAACTGACATTGTTGATAATGGAACTAAACTATCGCTCGAAGAGAATGATGCTGTTTGTCAGTTTAAAAAGGGATTGAAATTTGGTGGTTGCATGAAGAAGATTGAAAACAACTGCTCAGAAATCCGATAAGAGCTGCTGAAGCCTACAGCAGTTCAATCAACCAATATCATAAGAGAGGGTTTGCTGAAGAAGTCAAAAGCTGCGTTTACACTACGTGCTTGACCTGGTCAAACAGAACGGGATTTACCTAGTCCTGACAAGTTTTGAACTTAATAGTATGATTTGTATGGAGACATATAGTATTACCACTTTTCGGCGTGTTTAGGATCTTTTTCCAAGTATTTTGTCAATTACTTTGGCTATCCGTTATCACCAGGAAGGAAGACCGTCCGAACGTGGCACATATTACTTAGACCTGTCCTAGATCTATGGTCCAGGTCTAATAAGTTGGTGTAATATCTACCACATCATGCTGTTTTCCATGTTGACAAAACAACAACTAAATGTCGTGTTGTGATGCATCAGCTTGTGAAGAGGACGGTCTTTTGCTTAATGATTGTTTTACCTGGCCCCGCATTACAGCCAAATCTTTTTTCAGTGTTGTTAGGCCTTTGGACTCATAAAATTGGATTTATGGCTGATATTGAGAAGATGTTCCTCCAGATAAAGCTTGCAGAAAAAGATCGAGATGTCATGATCTGGAAAGATATGCAAATAGGTGGTTCCCCAATGACATACCGGATGACGCGAGTTGCGTTCGGGGTCAACTGCAGTCCATTACTTGCAATAGCTACAGTTCAGAATCATGCTGAAAAGTTTATGTTGGAGTATCCTGGAGCTGCAAAGAGTGTCTTGGATGATATGTACGTTTACGATTGTCTGACAGAAGCTGATAATGAAGAAGAAGCAGTGAAGTTGCAACAATCAATGAAAGAGTTAATGCACCGTGCTGCGTTTAATTTGACGAAGTGGTCCAGTAGTTCAGAAGATGTTCTCGGTCATATTGATGAGAAAGACAGCATCTAATGCATTGATTAACTTCCGTGACAGAGAGCCACATAAGGCATTGAGAATCAGCTGGAACACTTTAAAGGACTGCGTCAAATTCCACATTGCGCAAAATCAGTTCCTTTTGCATGTATATGAGACCACGAGGAGCGTGCTGAGTTATGCTTACTGTCTCCTAGCTTACACCATCAGATCTAAAATGTTGTTCGTATCCTGAGAGTTGGTGGTAGCTTACAGTATTCAGACTTACCAGAAACCACTAAACATCCAGTTATTATTCCACACGGACACCCTCTTACAAAGAAGATTATCCAGAAAAGACACCAGAAATTACTCCATGGACCTGAAATAACTGTGAGTTTTACGCCAGAACATTTGGCTGACCAAGGGGAGACGCGAAGTCAAAGGGAATATTGGCCGTTGCATTATCTGTCAACGTCAAAAAAGGGTCCTTTAACACAGAAGATTGGTCGTCTGCCACACCAACGAGTTTCATTTTCGGCACCATTTACCGACGTACGAATTGACTTTGCTGCCTGAGCCGTTATATGTACGCGACAAGATCTCAAAAAATGCCTACGTGTGTATCTTTACGTGTGTTTCTTCTCGCGTGGTGCATTTCGAACTGATTAAAGATATGAATTCCTCCAAGCCAACAACAAATGAATTCCTCCAAGCCTTGAGTCGTATTGTAGGAGAGTCCTCTCTTTGCGAAACAATTTGGTCCGATAATTAATGCGTAAACATTCAAATCTGACCGAAAGATCCAAAAGCTTTACTTGGCACAGTCAACGGACTCTAACAAATTATTGAGTCATATTAATCTAGCTGAAGTTAGAGCTAAACTTTCAAGCAAGGGAATAAAGTGGAAATTAATTGTCGAGCGCGCACAATGGCAAGGCGGATAGTTGGAAAAACTTGTATGTTCGGTGAAGGAGGAATGCTGGGGAAATCACATCTATCGTTCACAGAACTTACGACAGTGTCAGTCAGGATCGAAGCATTTCCTCAGGAAGGAAGACGGTAAATGTCTGTCTGTCTTTCTTTATGTAGCTACCTGTCATCCCACAAACAGCTCCATTTAGGCAAGCACAAAGTTCACTAAGAAATCAAACAGACCAGAATGTCAATGAAATACAAGGTAGACAAACAAGTGAAACAATATCGTCGCCAGTTCAACCAAAAATATGTGGCGATTTCAATAAAGATGATAATTTATGCGCCACAAAATCAATCAGATATATGAGGATATCGTCTTGTGGAGACGTAACGTATTTAAACTCCCAAATGGAACGGCGAGAAAGACATTTATTGCAGAAATAACAAAGTGGATTGACTTTTGCAACCACGATGCAATAGAGTATAAAGATATTGCATTGAAAGCTTTGGTGGTGATGTCTGCCTTACTTCTCCAAAAGCCATCATTATTCAAATCGACAGCAAAACAACATTTCCTAGCCTCACAAAACGATTGAATAAGTGGGAACAGTGTGAATTGATCGAACTACTTTGTGAAGCCAAAACGATTCAAGGGAAACTGACAACAATGCACAGTGGTAAAAAATAAAGAGCGTTGGCCAAAACCTTTGCAAAGCTCGGGCTGGAAGGAAAAATTAAAGCCGCAATGAAACTCCTTGATCTCCAAGGTGGTATTGGGGTACTCCCACTATCACAAAGCACCATAGATGGGTTGAGAAAAAACACCTTGTGGGAAGTGAAGCCGATCCATCAGTGTTATTAAAAGGCAAAGCACTGTTTTGTCGATCCTGTAATGTTTCAAGGTATTACAGAATCCCCTATTGTGAATGCAGCCCTACGAACAAGGGGTTCGAGTATCCCCTCTGGTTTCGACGCTGAAGGTTGGAGGAGAATTCTGGTGTCAAAGAATTTTGGAACAAGTGGTAATAACCTTAGGAACAGCTTTGCAGATTTTGCTCGAAAGATTAGCACTATTGAAACAGAAGTCATTGCTTCAAATGGTAGAACTTAATACTAACCTTGAAGCATGCACAGCTTGTCGGCTGATCCCATTCGACAAGAATCCAGGTGTGAGGCCAATTTGCGTAGGCGAGTAATCGCGAAGGAGATTTGCGAAGGCCATACTTTCCGTCATTAAACCTGTTCTTCAGGGGAATTTACAAGTCTGTGCTACTCTTTATCCTTTACAAACGGAAAAATTAGCGATACGGTACATTATAGTTAGAGTTATATCAGTTTAATTTTTTTTTTCAGTATTGGGAAAGCAGAATAGAAATGACGTCACAGAATAGAGATCGTAAAGAGAGTCGCCTGCCCGTGCAAAACGATTTGACGCGGCTGGCATTGGATGCATTAGGTGAATGTGTATTTGGCTATGATTTTGATACCATAAAAAGCGGTGATTCCGCATTATCCCTTGCGTTCATCAATGTGTTCTCTGGCGTAAATCAGGGTGTGGGTTCGTTGACGCAACTGCTTGTTAACTACTTCCCATTTCTTAAATGGCATATTGAATCGCTTAAAAAACGTCGTGAGGGGGTTGAAATCATCTCGAAACTTACGAAGCAGGTAAGAACAGCAGATATAATTACTTGAATCTTTCTTTCCTAAGAGTCGATAGTTTACATGTACAGGGTGTATCAAACGAAGAAAGGTAATCCAACTTCAACACGCTACTGTACGTGAACTATTCAAGATCAGGTTTTTAACTATCCGATGGCATGCTTTTGGTACCAAATGGTGAAAAAATGTTAGTCATAATTGCATATTTTTACCTTTGAGCCTAATTAAAAGGAACAGTCACAAATATGTCACAGCTTGCACTGGTTTTACAACATGTTTATTGCAATTATTTACATTGACCCTTTTTAAAAAGAGATTAATATGCGTCGATTACTTCAACTGACCACCATCTCTATCGATAAAAAGTTGACATCGCCGCCGCATTGCTTGGAATGTTCTTCTGATGTGATTTATTCCTAGTTAATATGCATATGCGGGTAGTTTATTCAAAAGCAAAATTCTTCAATTAAGTCCCAAAGGAAGTTAATTTTCAATGGTTTTAGTCCCAACTCTCACAAGTGAAAATGTGCGATTGTGACTAACACTTTTATCAGCCTCCTATATTCTCCTCCTTTTTCACCATTTAGAATTAAAAACATGTCATTCGATAGTTAAAAGTCTAACCTTTCTGAATGTGAAAAAAATTCGTTATTAGAACGAGTAGTTGATGTACAATAGCGCGCCAAATTTGGATTACCTTTTTTTTATACAACCAGTATATATGATATTTTGTTCTTTCTTAATCTGAGGGAGGGGGCTCTGGTCCCGGTGGTGAAGCTTATTTTCAAACCATTTTCACCCGAACAAACTAATTTATTTATTTGTTCTTTAATAGTATTGCTAAAAATTATCAAGCTAAGAAAAAGAAAGAACCACGTGTTTGTTCATGAACAAATTTCTGTGAAAAAGAATACAACATAACTATAATTTTGTCAACTATGTTCCACGCGCTGTAAACATGCGCACATACTTTTTCGGCTGCTATGTAAAAATGTAAATAAAGCGTGCCCGATTTTTTTTGAGCCGCCTTCTTAAAACACTCCTCGAAACTATAGATCTCTCAATCTTTATTTTTGCAATTGGAATCACATCAGCTTTCTCCCAAAGAATGGGGACATATTGGCTTTTATTGCTCAGGATAGGATGCATTGAGAATAACAGTGATAGGAACAAGGATGAAAGAGTAATCCTTAAGAAGCCATTTAGGTATCTCGTCTGGTCCTTATTCACCTTACGTTTTGATGAATCTCCTTGTGCTGATGATTCTGATACCAGAGACTCTTCTAAGGGGGCATTTGGATAATGGGGAAAGTAATCTATACTCACGTTATGGGTCTGGGAGTGCCACATTAATCTTATTTGCTTGATCTTTAGAGCTCAAGTTCAGGGGGTATAAAAAAATATTTACTTTTTCGTCAAATTTTGTTTATATAGGTAATCCAAGCTAAGATTGATAAGAAAACAGAACAGAAAACCACACGAAAAGATCTACTAGATCTTCTTCTTGAAGCAGTTGATGACGAGACAGGCAAAGGTATGGATGAAGAGGAATTGTTTTCTCAGATATTCATATTTTTATTCGCTGGACATGAAACAAGTGCAGTCTCCATGTCATGGTTACTCTATTTCCTTGCCCAAAATCCTGACGTGCAAAAAAGACTTCGCCAGGAAGTTAAAATTACATTAAATGAGAAAGAAGAGTGCTGGGAAACCTACGATTCAATGGAGTACCTTACAGCCGTGGTTAATGAATCATTGCGCCTTCGACCATCAGCACCGGTGTACCGTAGAAAAGTAATACAAGAGGACAACATACTGGGGTACAAGATACCTGCTGATTCCGTGATTGTTATACCTCTCTACGCCCTCCATCGTAAACCTGAGTATTGGTCAGATCCAAAAACTTTCAATCCGGAGAGATTTTTGGAACCAAGTAGGTGACTTTGACTAATTAGTATGGTTTGATTAACCATTTTGTTGTTGTAATGATCCGCTAACAACTTCATAATTATTAGGTTGTAGCCGGTTGACGGGGTTTATTCTGTTTACAGAGATCACGTTTCACCTCGTACAACAATAGTTCGATGTAGCTAATATTTTCTGCTCAGTTATCAAGTCAATCCTCACCACACACTTTCCTCGAAATGATTCTTGAGCGATCGATAAATATAATCCATATAAACTATGTCGATCTTCTTAGAAACATATACTAGGTGTCACGTGAAAGAAAAAGAATGGAAGGGAACTTAAGTGTGTGGTGTCAATTTTTTTCTAGACAGACAAAATAATCCTAACCACCGTTATGCATTCATTCCATTTTCCTCTGGTCCTCGAATCTGCGTTGGTTATAGATTTGCTTTGATGGAGATGAAGGTCGTACTTTCTGCCTTGATCCGAAGATTTTCATTTTCAATGATTCCTGGAATGTCGTTCGAAGGCTCCATTTCGGTTACTTACAAACCTAAGCCCAATATGGAACTTTTGGTGCGAACAATTACAGAGTAAAAACTAAAAAGAGACAAACGAGGGGTGGGAAACAACAGTAATGATGGCAACTACAACATAAATACTGTAAAGAATGTAGCTTCCTGTAATAGTAGAATTCCTGTGAAGAATGTAGCTACTTCGTTAATTATACCACAATGAAGATTATAGCAAATTATCTCTCTTAATTTTTTATCTGCGTTTTCTTAATTGTTGTATTTTGTTCATTCTGCACTCCTTTGTACGCAAATTAGGTATTCTTTCCCGCGTTCTTTTCAATAGCCCTGCATGAGCGCGACGTTTCAGGGCGATGTGTAGAAGAGCTACGAAATTTTGCCTTGAAATGAGTATATATATCGTGACATTCTCCCTTTCGCTATGACAAATGAAAGCACAAATTCGACGATTGTGTAATCCGTATTATAATTGAATATGCTGTGAATATGCTGTGAATATGCTGTAAATATGCTGTATAACCCAAGATGGCGGACTGTCGGTAGGTGGAAATCAGTTCACTGTTAGAAATTACTCCTGTTCAATTTTTAAAGAACTTATAAAAAATCTGCGACGAACTGTATCTTCGTTGTAATGTTGAACGACGTAAGTGGACTGAAAACTTTGAATTATTGAACTAGTATTCGTAGCTGACTGGCGACAAAGGTCACCTGTCTTAAGCCGGTTTTCCACAAGCGATATTTTTCGCGCGAATCGACATTTTACTTTTGTTCCCGAGCTCTCAACTGCAACCATCCAGAACTAATTGCTCAAGTACAAAGGAATAAAGTCGCCTCGCGCGAAAAGTATCGCTCGTGGAAAACCGGCTTAAAACCAAACAATAACGCGCAAACTGGACCTCAATCGCATAATATATACAATGTTGAAAGACATTTTCAGTTTTGGTGTTAAAGCTAAAGCAGTAAATAAAGTAGCCCTGGACAGGGATAGTTCAACTCAGGTGGAAGTTCTATATAATATACTGCAGCTGAATGTTCCACCCCACTGCAATAACGAACTGAACGAAGCGTGGTAAACACGGTCGCAAATACAGAAAAGTCGCCGACTCGCCGCCGTACATCTTGTGATAATAATTTTTCTTATTCGAAATCGCTTCTAAGCGGGCTCGCTCGCCGCAGCAGAAATTACGAAAAAAACACATCAGATACAGGACACAACACGTGAAACAGTCAAACCCTGGGTACGAGGGGAGTTACACGCCTTTAAAAGAAGCTCGTTCAAGAGCGGATGCATGTGTAGCCAGTAGCCTTAACACAGACCTTCTTTTCGCCCGCCAAATGCACGTGTGATTGTGTGAACAATGTCTGTTCCCAAACGCCTTTGCGATACTTTAATAATTGTTACTAACCACCCGAGTCTTGATAGATGGAACTGGTGGGGTTGGGAGAGGGTACTGAGTAGGGTGCTGTGTAGAGAGCACCGTGCTGCCACACTCGCAAATAAATTTAAAATCATCACCGCCCGGACCTAAGCTTTCTCATCCCCCCAGAAATTGAACGCCATGCAGGTTTATCTTGACGTATACAGACTACAATACGTGTTTTTGCCCCACTCGTTGATCGCGATTCGCGAGTTATTTTGTTTGTCCTTCGCGATCGAGGGTGCATGTATACGATATTAGTACCTGGTGAGTGGTGACCTGGATTATCCTTTGAATCCCTTCCGGCGTTCGTGTCAAAGCCGTGCAAAGAGTTCTCCTCTCGAGGTAAATAAAGCTACATTTGTGCTGTCTTTAATAGCCGTTTATCGGTTTTGTGTGTTTTATTGTCTTGGCATGTTTTATTTAAATGTTTTGCGTCTTGATTCGAAGCCAATCGCAAGCATTATCAAGATACATATTTTGTACAATTCTTATTCTCTTGTTTTCTGTCCAAAGCAACATTCAGGGTGGCCTCTATGTATTGTCACTATCCAGGCATTCTGTACATATCTACCGATTGATGTAGTATGTACTTGAATTGAATTTTCATTATTCTGGACAACTTACTAGTAACTTTGCTTTTACTAAGATTTGTTGCAATATTCTTTATTGGGCAACCCTGATGTCTGCCCCAAATCCCAATCTATTAATTTCATAACCATAGAAGCTTTAATCACTACATGTGGTTGTAATCAATAAGCCTAGAATCATTGTGAATGTTCTCCGTGTTTACCATACTTACCTGTAGCTACCATATGTTTATATCGTGTATTTGAAATTTAATAAGTTGATTTACATTTCATTTCCGCTGAAAGTGTGAAACGGTTAAGGGACTGAGATTGAGTAAGGCGAAAGTGGGCGAAAGCGAATAAAAATTGAAAAAGCAAGGGGATTACTATAGACATAGTAACAGTATAGGATTTGGTGCGTTAAATCCACAGTGGTTAAATCATGTAAATATTGAAATTTGTGGGGATATAGATTGCGCAATCTGGTAAGTGTGTAAATAATAAGTATTTGTAGTGTGTATTTATAACTATTTGGTGTCGTTAATTTATATTAATGTGAATTTGTAAAAGTTTTATATTTTATTGATAGAAAAACATTCATAAAGTAAGCAACAATGTCAATGCTTTTCAGAGTTCGATAACTGATTTAATTGCAGTATATCTGTAGATACTTATAAGATTTATTCAATGTGATAGGAGTCATATACCCTTGACGGGTATATTCAAACCTAAAAATCTAAACTTGTCCTTTTCCTCACCAGCTCACTCATTACGAGTCGGAGTGCCTAGGCCTTAGGACCCTAGGTGGTGGTTTAAAAGGAGAAAGGAACACACACACACAACCCAAGCCCTACATCCATCCAAAGCTTGAATGTGAGAGATCGATTTTATTTATTATATGAGTGTGAAAAATGCACATTCTTAACGTCATATGTCCAAGTGCCTACTCTTGGTTATTAAGAACCTTTGCTGACAATACTCTGTAGTATTTCAATAGGGTTGAACATAATAAATTTGGAGTTGCAACACAGGAAATAATATAGGCAAAAATGTTCTCTGTGTTTACCATACTTACCCTTGACCAGCATATTCAAACCTAAGATTTTTTAGGTAACCTCTTAGGTAATTTAGCTTTACCTTCACTGTAAGCAATATATTCTTCAACGCTTGAAATAAAATCCATATTTCTGCACAATTATGTAACCACTAATTATTAAACTATATTAAATGGAAATTGATTACATCACACAGCCTGGTGCAGGGTTTTAGGTGCATGACTTACATACTGATTAATTACTTATATATTCATGTATCATTTACATGCCCAATATTCATAATTTTGCAGCAACAACTCTGTATTATCTATATTGATTTGAGTATTCATTTGCATAGCTTTGCCTACATTATATATAGGGACCTGGTGCTATAGCGTTTGAATGGGGCCTTCATGATTATGTCATTTTACATAAACTCAAGGGTGCAATATGGCAACCTCGTACCTAGGGTCTTACAATTGCTCGGCCTCCTGCTGTGGAAATAAAAAAGATGTCAAGCTGTCAGTAACATGCTATGAAAGTTTTAATAATTTTAGGGGAAAATTATGGTGTGTAAAAAAATTTTACTGGAAACTTAATCTGGAAATAACTAAAGTAATTCAATAGGATGTTTCCTATAATTTTCTTTATAGAAAACTATCATGGGAATTCAAAATTTTCCATCCAAAACTCTTTTAGAACTGCCTATTTTAGGCTTTAGAACTGCCTATTTTAGGCTTTAGAACTACCCATTTCCAGTTAGAACTGCCAATTTTGGAGAATGGAATGCCTTAGGATGAGCCTTACAAATATTCCTATGAGAAATTCCTATAGGAAGTCTTATAAGAAATTCGGACCAATTTACCGAAGAAATTTCTAAACTAATAATAAACAATTATTGGATGAGGTTTTTGTGATATATGCGAAATTATCAATTCAATAATTGTTTTATTATAGATTTAAAGAATAATAAACATACAAAAGTTTGAAAATCTATCCATATTTGCTTTTTTCTACGTTTTTTTCCCTTTGTTTGTATGAGAAATAAACACTGCTTGGTAACCACCGCAGGCTCACTTACAACTGTACAGTTGACTGACTGCAGGAACGTGTGTCCACTAACTATAATTTCCTTTGTTAATCTGTCTTCCGTAACGCTGTAACATAGTTTCCGATACAAGGATACGCAAACTCGCGAAGATTCATTCGAACGTTCATCTTAGCCAGGCTCTTTTACACACGAAACTATAGGTTCTATATTTGAAGTACATGTATATTTGGGATTGAATACATAAATTGTTTAATGGATAAATAGAAACAGACATCGTTATTATTCCACTAATAAAACAAAAGATTTTAACACGTTTTAATTCATGTTTTTCGTATCAATGTTAATAAGTTTCCGGTGTCCGCGTTTTCCAATAAACCATAATAATAAAACCATAAACCTGGAATTCAAAATTCCTATAGAACTCTTATAGGAAATTTTTGTAAAGGAATATGCATAATTTGGGCACTTGGGGCACTTTTTTAAAACTTTTACACATTTATTCACCTAAATTAACCAATGTCGGGGCCTAATTTTTCAAGCCAAAGTTTTACATTACTATGTCATGCATTGCTCCAAAACTCATCAATATAAATACCTCCATCCAGTTGGGTAAGCAAAATATACTCCCCTGGCAAATTATCCGTTGGCTAATGATTACAAAAACCTCCGATTTGCTTTTGTATTAACCCACATTTCAATGCATATCTTGACCCTACCCTTTAGAGTTACCTAATTTTAATTATTTCGCAGCCACATCATAGCTAATACATGATATGTTACATTAGTTTAATATTCATCATTTGCATGATGACATCCAACCTTTAGATCCCAACGCGTTTCAAGTATTGCAATGGCTTGGAATTTCGGCAACAATTGCCTGGTCGCTGCAGTCGCTCTAACATTTCTCATATTGCTGTGGAAGGCGGTGAATTACCTATTCAGTAAATCAGACATTCCAAGCCCTAAAGGAGATTGGTTTATAATCGGGCATCTGTTTGAAATTAGGAAAAGCAAAGACATGATGCAAACTTTCGACGAATGGGTGAAAACCTATGGACCGATAGTTCAATTTCGACCACTGGGGATATTTGGTATGTGTGAATGATAATTTGTTCCGATCATATTGTATTATTTATCATGTGCTAAGCCCTAATATATATAGTTTAAATTTGAATTGTTTGTTATTTTGCTAATTCGGATTTCTTAAAACAACCCAGAGGTCGAGTAGGATTCGATGGAATGCTACTCCGTAAATTTATCGTAACAAATGCCACAAATTTCCTTAGAAATATATGACACAATTGCAACACCTTTTTTTTGGTTTTTAACACCTTTCTTTGGTTATTAAATACCCCTATGTCACCCCGATGTTTCTCGTCGCTTATGGGAAAGGGAGTTTATCATTATTCCTACTAGCTACCTACGTTTTCTTTTGAATTAGTAGATCATTACTAATAAGGAGCATTCTGTATTATACATTTTTTGTGTATGCCCTTACTGGTTGCTCGAAAGCGCCTACTAATTCCTAATGTTCAGTCCGTAATAATCTCGTAATCTCTGCTGCTGCGCGCTCGGCACAATATTTTATTCTCGAACTTCTAAATTTTGGAACTTGAACTTGTAAAAACTATTATTGGATCAGGCTTTGGTAGGCTGACAATCTAAATCTGAAAACGCACAAAAATGTTTCTTGTCTGCATCGGTGAATTTTAATTTAGTTAAATTAAAAAATGGTCAAAATTTTATCCCAGTATTGTTGTGTATAAAATAAAGTAACTTGAAATACTTAATAACTTTTTAAAAATGACAAATTAATAAATTGGTTTCGTCTTTTGCATTATTTTAAGAGTTATCCCACGTTTATTCCATTTTGGAATTTAAGCTCTACCGTAAATCATCGATAAAGCGTCGCTACTTGAATAAGGGCCGCTGTCAAATAAGCGCCGCACTTCTACCAAAAATAATTTAATAAGCGCCGCTATTGAATTAGCACCGCGGCACCTATTTAAGAATGCATAAATAAACGCCATAGATTTTTTCAGCGCGCTAACCGTTACCACAAAATAGACATTACACTGTCTACTCTGAACTGTCTATTGAGAATTTGATCACAGCCAATATATAAAATTCAAGTTTTATTGCTGCATTCCGCGTCTAGCATCTGTGCATGTCGTTGATTCACCGTGTATACTGTAAACTGAGCGGGAATTAACCAACAGCCGAACTTCGCGTTTCCTCTAGTACGTGCTGGTCTTTTCACTCACTTTGAATCAAGCACCGCATTTGAATAAACGCTGCATCTTCAACTCGGAATTTGCATGTAATAAGCGCGGCGTCACTTAATCAATCATTTACGCTAATCAATTCGAGTTTACTTCATTGACAAACTTTGGAATGAAAGTATTCAACGGTAGATTTAACTAAACTATAGGTTACAAAATATACGGTTTGTTTCTATTTATCTGTATCACGCCATTTTCAACGTCTTCTTTGACGTTCACGTCGTGCTAAATCAGCTTATACTACCACTCAAGTTCGAAGAATAATTGTTAAATTTTGACCTCGGTCCGAATAATTGACAATTAAATTACGCCTTGGTGGTTTATGAGCTGATGGAGCTGAATTTTATCAATTGTATATGGCGAGCAAGCTGGTATAACTGTTGTAGAATATAGCCAGCACTTTATAAAAAATAATCTGGCTCTTTTTAAGTTTTCGTCACAAATTCTCACCGTATTATACTGGCTCTTTTCAATACATTGAGTAGCTCTGCTGATCAAATTGCCAAACGGCTCACATACAGTGAGTAGATATAGCTCTATATCCCTAATATATAGATCTGTCTCAGTGTATCTCTATAGCTCTATATCTCTAATATATTAAGATCTGCTTCAAAATACTCTATAGATATACAATCATGCATGCAGCAACCCCTTGCTATTTCAAACCAAGCACACAATTTCCTGTCCTAGCCAGACCTATAAAAACTTTTATTATATGTGTATAGAGATTTATGCACAGCAGAATGATGAAATAAAAATCGTATTTCACTGTGTAAATTAATTTCATGCAATTTGATTGGACGTACGATGTTTTTCACGTGTGAAAAAATGCCATACACGGCTTTTGATTGGACGTACGATATTCTTCACGCGTGAAAAATTGTCGTATGTCCTTTGGGCGGCAATTTGTTTACATTTTCTTTCAAGATGGAGTCGAAATATAGGAGTGAGATTCAAAACATAATTCTCATATTCAAGATATTTTTTACATTCAGCACATTTCAAATCTTTCGGAAAGAATGTCTAACTTCTATTGAACAAAATTACAAAGAAACTGAACGGTAATAAATATGTTTTCATGCATAAAGTTTCGATTTTGTTGCTCGCTGTGTTTTTGTATACTAAAAGCGTGTCGTTGTCAAATTGATCTCTATACACGTGGAAAAATTGTCGTATGTCCTTTGGGCGGCAATTTGTTTACATTTTCTTTCAAGATGGAGTCGAAATATAGGAGTGAGATTCAAAACATAATTCTCATATTCAAGATATTTTTTACATTCAGCACATTTCAAATCTTTCGGAAAGAATGTCTAACTTGTATTGAACAAAATTACAAAGAAACTGAACGGTAATAAATATGTTTTCATGCATAAAGTTTCGATTTTGTTGCTCGCTGTGTTTTTGTATACTAAAAGCGTGTCGTTGTCAAATTGATCTCTATACACATTTAATAAACAAATTACTTTATGGTTGGCTCGTTTGTACGATTTTTATTATGCACTCGTTGCGAAGGATCGCAAACTCACTCGTTCGCTGCGCTCACTCGTTCGCTGCGCTCACTCGTTCGTATTGCGATCCTTCACAACTCGTGCATAAAAATCGTACGCACTCGCCAACCATGAAGTAATCTCTATATAGTGAGAAATGACTCAAAGCTAAAATCAGTCGATACTGTATAGTTGGTATTTCTATCATTCGGTACACGTACGGTTTATAGACTCTTGCCGCATCAGTAAATGGGGATTGTTTAAAATCCAAGCATAAACCATCAGAACAGTACAAAATCTCAAACAAAGACTAAACGTCAATTGCATTCAGTCAACTCTTTTTCAACTAGAATGATTAGTCTTGGAGGGGGAATTTGAAGCCAACTTTGTGCTTAGTTTGCAGGTATAACTCCAGTCCTTTTCCCAGTATTTTTTTTGAACAGATACATATTTTTTGTTAGTTTCGCGTAGCCACAATTAATTCAATAATTTAAATGTCTAAAGAAATGTTTGTCCTCCCAAAGAATCCATTCAAGTCTACTTTGACGTGCAGTTTTCTCAAGATCGTATTGGAACCTTGTTTTCCCACATAAGATCTATGGATGGATTGAACCCAAAAATTCTAATTGCATTGGATTTTTAAGCCCCTTCTCTGGCATTACTCCTATTTTCTGCAGAAGAAAACACAAAGTCCATTGATTGGGAAAAATATGCCAGCCAAAAACAACGGTTTTACCAATTTTACCAAGAAATAGTTGCATAAAGAGATGACTAAATGAAGAAGTTATGATGTTTTTTCAAGAGTTGAAACATCAAAACGTCTGTTTTTAGCCAATATACTTTCTCTACTTAGAATGACGCTTTATGCTTTAGAGTGAGAAGTTACATTAACTGATAGTTATGCTTTTTCTCTGACTGTTTGGTCATGGGATAAAAAAAGCACTGTAAACGCTAACATACTGTATATACTGGCGCGCTCATAAGTTATTGAACACCCTGTTTTATAGTAAATGCAAAACGAAAGTTTCTTATGCTCCTGATGGAATTAGAAACTCATTTAATTATAACAAAACTTCATTCTCAATAGTCGTTTTAATACAATTGTCCACTTATTTTACCATGCACCTCACATCACTCGCGTGCACACAACGTCAGGCACATGCCCACTTATCAGTATTTTGTTAGATATCCCCCGGAATGCGTATGAGAAAGAAGGTTGGGTTTATAGCCAGAGATTGGGATAACAGATGTGTATGGTGTAATTCTGATTCAAATTACAGGCAAAACAATCTACCTAATTAGTGACGCTGATGCCCTAAAACAAATTTTGGTATCGAAGTCATTCAAATACGGAAAAACAAGACTACTTCGTAGGCCTTTGGTATCAACAAAAAACGTGTTCGCTGCAAATGGGAAGGAACATTCCAGAATGAGAAAAATGATCAATCCCGCATTCAAAGTGAGCAACTTGAAATCTATGGTTGCCATTTTTCAGGAAAAGGCCAATACACTTGTAGAGGTAAAAATATGTTGCGAACATTGTGTTGCTATGTAGGAGCTTGTTTGAATAAATTGGTATTCACATGCAAGTTTATGGTCTGGGGCCGGTTGTATAAAACCCTTTAACTACATTTTGCATAATTAAATGCTAATTAACTCAGAAATACAACACTCTGATTGCGGCTAATCTGTCCTTAATGTATGGAATACAAGTGGTAGATTACAAAGCACAGGCAAAAATAGTACATTTTTATTTTATTTCTACCCGAAAACCTCAATTGATAAAATTCTTGTACCATAGGTAAAAGGTAATGAAGGTTTATATCATAAAACTTGCTAAAAGTTGACTTGTTTGTCCAAACAGCCACGGAGATAATATAGTTTCAATAGATAACCCAGTAGGTTTAGCCGCCGAGGTCGAGGCACTGCGAACCGAGTGACCTTTACAGAAAGAGTCATTTATTCAAGACAGAAGGATTATTTCCGTAACCCAGCGAGAAAGCGTAGATGAGGTTACTGGCTTGTGAGGTTTTTTAAACGAAAGAAAAAGTCGTGACGTTTCGTTGCTCTATTGTCTGGAACCCTTTGTTCGTTTTAGATACACTTATAAGGCAAGCGACCGAACAAAGTGATTCATTTGTAAATTTAGGATAGATAGATTCGCCTAGTTCTCCATGTAGTATGTGCTCGTTTCCTGAAAATTGTATGGGAAAACGTGCCACCTTTCGGGTAATGTCGCATGTAGGTAGTGTAACATGGACACGCTAAAGCAAAATTTTGCTTTACGAACTTTGGACATGGTGATTGGGATGTACGTAGCGTTCCATTTCTTTTTAGTTCAATGTTACCGACAGATTTCTTTCAAAAGAGCAACCGTCTATAGATAAGCACCACCCCCGCCCCCTATCATCGCACTTGGTTACGATAATTCAATGAACAGCACAACCCAATACGTGTTCTAAACACAAGTACCAACAAGCTTTAAACATTCCTAAAAGCGGATTTCATGCGTGGGTCACGACAAATTATATGACACAATGAAAACTAACCCTAAAATCAAGTATGACCTGTTACACATTACTTGTGATCTCATAGACTTGACTAATATTTTTTCAGTATTGGAACGGCACAATAGAAGCGACAAAGAGTGGTAATGATAGCAAAGAAAGTCGCTTGCCCGTGCAAAACGATTTGTCGCGTATGGCATTGGACGCATTAGGTGAATGTGTATTTGGCTATGATTTTGATACTATGGACGGTGACACCGCATTATCAAGTGCATTTACTGATCTGTTGCATGGTGTAAATCCCGGTGTGATTACATTTATGCAACTACTACGTAACTACTTACCGTTCCTTATATGGTATAGTCAAACGTACAAAAGACGTCAGCGAGGCAAGGAAATTGTCTCAAAATTTCTGAAACAGGTGAGAACACCAAATTAATAATCATTTAGTTGAATTCCTTTCATTCCTTCAATTCCTTTCTCCGCAGAGTCATAACGACAATGAACGACTTGCGCTTTAGACTGCTTCATTTTTTATCAAAGTAATAAGAAGAAAGTAAATCACCACAGCTAGAATAGACATAGCAAAATTAGTGCAAATGCAAAGTTTAGTTGCAATAAATTTTTAATATATTTTGCCTAAAGAAGTATTCTTGTTGTATTTTTCGCTTTCTCGTTCTTTTTTTTGTTTTTAAATAGCTTAAATAATAAATCATCTACGGGCCTTAAAAAAGCCATGTGGTTTCTAGGCTCCTCTCTTTTTTGAGGGGCGAATTAATTAATTAAAAAAAAGTGAATGAAACATATCTATAATTTTCCAACTATGTTCTACGAGATGTAAACACACTATCTCTATGAAACACGCGGCAAGCATGGATTCTTCCCTATGGTACTATATAACCATTAAATGTAGTTAAATGTTAATGAAAATTATTTTATCAGACACAAAACCCGAAGGCTCAAACGATCTACAAGAAAGCTGCGGATGGGCCGTAGCTATAGACGGCTTAATAGGGAGGCAAGGGAGGTTTATATATATATAAATTCATGTTTATTATACATCGTAGGGGAAAATACGAATATAAGACGAATACAAGGCATAAGCCACATATTCACCCCCCCCCCAAATTTATGTATGAATAATAAGGTTATCGTAATTTATTCATAAGGTGATCGCAGATAAGCTTGATACGAAAACAGACAAGGACACCGCACAAAAGGACCTGCTAGATCTTCTTCTTGAAGCTGTTGATGACGAAACAGGCAAAGGTATGGATGAGGAGGAATTATTTGCACAAGTGTTCGTGTTTCTAGTCGCCGGGCACGAAACAAGCGCAGTCGCTATGTCATGGTTACTTTTTTTTCTTGCCCAATACCCTGAGGTGCAAAAAAGGCTTCGCCAGGAAGTTGAAGTTACATTGAATGAGAAAGAAGAGTGCTGGGAAACCTACGAATCCATGGAGTACCTTACTGCTGTAGTGAACGAATCATTGCGTCTTCGACCATCCGCATCGGTGTTCTCTAGAAGAGTAATGAAGGAGGACAACATCTTGGGATATAACATACCTGCTGATTCAATGATTGTTGTACCAATCTACGCCCTCCATCGTAAACCTGAATATTGGTCGGATCCAGAAACTTTCAATCCGGAGAGATTTTTGGAACAAAGTAGGTGCATGATTTCGACCAATTATAATATAGTGCGTAATAAAGCACTTACGATGTGATTATACAAATCATGTCATCTAACATGTGGTTTGACTATGGTTTGACACATGCACGTTGTTTAGTTTCCTGACTTTCCCCTAAATTTAAGCACTGTTCTACTTTATATTTTTTCCTCAAAATGATATTCGCTTATTTCATTGTTTCAGGTACAGCTTTTTCTTTAACATTGCCTAGTTTTCATGTATCACTTTGACAAATACAACTCGCCGTCATTTTGAATAATCTGCATCGGTGATAATCGCGAATTATTATTTGTCGTTGACCAATCGGAGGCCAGAATTTTTGATAATCGCCCTTGCAAATGCAGAAGTCTAACAAAGGACTAAAATGTGTGACTTCTATTTTTTCTAGATAGGCAAAATAATCCCAACCATCGTTATGCATTCATGCCATTTTCCGCTGGTCCTCGAATCTGCGTTGGCTATAGATTTGCTTTGATGGAAATTAAAGTTGTACTTTCTGCTTTAATCAGAAAATTTTCATTTTCAATGATTCCTGGAATGTCGTTTGGAGGCTCGATGTCTGTAACTTATAAACCTGAGCCCAATATGGAACTTTTGGTGCGAAAGATTACAGAGTAAGAGAAGTTCAAGGGTACGCAATCATTATTCGGGGGAGGGGATGGTGTATATTTATATATTCATATATTCATGTTTACATATGGATACAGTCCGGCATAAGATAAATATACAAATATTCACCCCTAGCTATACGACCCTGGAGACTACGATTGTAGCTACACATAAATATATAGATTATTTCATCCTATTTCTCCGCCAGAATAGCCGATAGCTAAAACCATATTTGACTAGATGCTTTTTATTTTTTTTAGGTAAATAACCTTTTGATGTTGTTTGGGAATATGTATCCTCCTATATATGCGTCACTCTTTGGCATTATTAATTATATTTTGATATTATACACATTTTTGGGTAGAGCAAAGATGATAATGAGCGTAACATCAACGTTGAATTAACTTAATTTTATTAATTTTCACTGATCACTAAAGGATTGGAAGAATACTTTTAAAAATAATTACCTGAAAAAGGTTAATCAATAGTGGTCAATAGCTACGATCGTTTATGTTCAAGACAAAATTTCAAGACTTTTATTTGTGGTAGATAAATGTAGCACTGTTCAGTTGTGTCCTATTTTTACTGTGTATAAAACTGATATTTTTAAATTTTAAAACTTTTGAAATAATCTTTTTCACTTGGATCATCGTGAAAATATACGAAAAATTGACTCGTAAAATTGATTAAGAGAGAATGTAAAAGATGCCTTCGGATAGAAAAACTTTTATTCAAATGGATGGTATAAAGAGTGGTTTTAGAGTGTTTTTGAACAGATAAATAGGTAGATAATAAGGGGTTTTGCATGTCTAGAGAAGTCTAGTATTACCCAGGCTACGGTAGTAACCATTTCCCAATCGAGCAGGGTACTGGGTCTAGTCGCGAACCGCAAAGCATCTATGGACTGTTGGGAGGGACAAATGTAATAATTGGTAATCAATGGTTCTCCAAACGGTACATACATGCTTTGCGGTTCGCGACTAGACCCATTACCCTGCTCGATTGGGAAATGGCTAATAGACGTGCGGCAGCACTTTTACAAACGTTTTGTCACTATACACGGTTTTAATTTACTCGACACAAGGAACGGGTGTATATACCCGATGTGTCAAATAAAATTACTCCTGGTTGATTAACGATAACTTTTACAGGTTATCACATGCAGGGGTGAGGCGTTTTCAGTATCATTTGTAGCTTTCAAATTCTCAATAATATCCATGATACTTATGTTCAGGCTTCAGAGACCTATATCGAGTTTTATTATTTATTTTACCTGTTAGTGCCCAAACGCCATTGCGAGAATCTAATCTGATTATCTGATTATCGATCAGCATTTTAATTAATTTTTACAATTATCCGGAAAAGGCGATGTCAATGACAGATGTCTTTATTCAGTGACAACCATATCTTTCAATCCGCGGATATATTTTTGATCCGAGTATGTAACTCTTCATATATGTCCATTCTTATTATTTATATTATTATATATATACCAAATTATTATATTATATACCAATGGCTGAACATGGTAGATATCAGTCATGCATGAGGACACAAACGTAAGTTTCAACTGTATTGTTTATACGAAAATACGGAGCTAAACATGTATCATCTGCTATCATAGATTGTGGATTATCATAGATTACTACTACTTCTTCTAAATTCAATTACGATTATTTCTTTATTAATTAATATATCAGTATTGTTCGCTTTACAGTGACATTTAAGAAATTTTCAAGACAGATTTTCAACGATTTCGCATAAAATGAATGTACGCAGTACAATCACGTGATTGATATTTACGTATAAATATTATTTTCAGGTGACAACCAGATGAAAACACGTTGTTCAAAAACAACAACTTAAATTTGTGGCTAATTTTTCTAGACAAACAAAGAAATTACCTAATTGCAGTTACGTATGCATTAAACTTGTTAGCAGGCCGTCGCTAGAAGCTTATTCGGGGTTGGGAGGTGTATATTCATATTATCGTCTTATGCGCGGGTCAGCCCGGCTGATTTCTTTCTGGCCCTCAATTAAGCTTCTAGTGGCGGCCCTGCCTATAAGGTGCAAACTAAAATAGTGCCCGGTGTATAACGTAGATGAGCTGCAGGTCACAGATGTTTCATTACCTTTTAATACACATGATTTCGAAAAAAGATTCCGCAGAAGATCCTTAGGCGGGGGAGGGTATGCTTTAGAATCGTCCGCGCCCCTTGTGAGAATAAGCGTGAATTCCAAAGTGTAATACAAAGTTAAAGTCATGTCCATATGTAAACATATCATGCGGTTTATTTACGTTTTTGAACTTCTGTACTTTTTAAAGCACGATGTCCTGTCTGAATATCGAACAGCATTTAGGTTCGCAATGCTTCTAAATGAGTATGAACTGTACTGATTATTTTCAGAAGTTCAGGAGCAAAAGGCTGGCACGTGCGTGGTACATCAGAGTTAAAGCCAGGGCAAGCGTCTTGTTTCAATTCTGAACAGGTTCTTGTCAAGCAATAAAACCCCTGGAAAGACGTCAGAAGGATTGGAAGGTTTAAGCGTAGGTGCCTTGAATCATCTTCATCTTCCATACATAGGTAATCAAAGATAAACTTGATAACAGAAATGACCAGGGCAGCAAACGAAAGGACCTACTGGATATTCTGCTCGAAGCGGTCGATGACGAAACAGGGAAACGTATGGATGAAGAGGAATTATTTTCTCAGGTGTTCATATTTCTATTTGCTGGACACGAAACAAGCGCGATTTCTATGTCACGGATTGTTTTCTTTCTTGCCCAAACCGTGATGTGCAAAAGAAACTTCGCCAGGAAGTTGAAGTCATATTAAAAGAAAAGGAAGAGTGCTGGGAAACCTATGATTCGATGGAGTACCTTACAGCCGTCATTAACGAATCAATGCGTCTTCGACCAGCCTCGTCTCTGTTTCGTAGAACAGCATTACAGGAGGACAACATCCTGGGTTACAACATACCTGCTGATTCAATGATTGTTGTACCCCTCTACTCTCTCCATCGTAAACCTGAGTATTGGTCGGATCCAGAAACTTTCAATCCAGAAAGGTTTTTTGAAGCGTGTTGTGTTGTCATGACGATTCAGTGTATTTTTCTACGTCGCATAACATGTGCTCAAAACCTCAGTTATGTCATCATACATCAGGCCGTTAATAGTAAACTTTGGAATAGATTGTACTAAAGTTCGGAGTAAATTTCGACTCCACATATGTTGCCTAAAAGTTATATTAGTCTTCTAGCCAAACATTTAAATGGCTTAATATCCCTGTTCAAAATGTGTTTAGACAATTTCGCCGGGAGCCACCTTAAATTGTAGGGAGCCACCTTAAGCATTATTGACAGCTACATATTTTGAAAAATCTCTTGTCCCTTTAGTTTCAAAACTTAGCCGAAGATATTTCAGTATGTTTTAAACGTTTTCCCGCCAAAACACTTGACGTATAAAGAAACCTCCACTCAATAATAGTTTGGTTGGTATTCGAAATAATTAATTTGTAGTAAGATTTTTTGCTAATATACATATGTTACGTGTTACTAGGACCTTTGAAGCATGGCAAGTATCTGCTTTCATAAATTGTGAAGATATCATATGCCACACTGAAAATACCGTTTTAAGATTAAGCTATTGCTGAAAGACCAAATGACAACTCGTTCATTATAAAAAATCATGTAAGAGTTTATGAGCGAGAGATGCCTGTGATGTCTGTAAATGATATGGATTTTTAGTGGAACTATTTATAGTGTCAATAAATTTCATAACCTGATAATCTGACTGATAGGCATATTTATTTTGTGCATGTCGATATTTAAATACGGGAACCAAAGTGTGTGGTACTTTTTTTCTAGATAGCCAAAATAATCCTAACCACTGTTATGCATTCATGCCTTTTTCCTCTGGGTCTCGAATCTGCATTGGTTATAGATTTGCTTTGATGGAGATGAAGGTCGTACTCTTTACTCTTATCCGAAAATTTTCGTTTTCAATGATTTCTGGAATGTCATTTGAATGCTCCCTTTCGGCTACTTACAAACCTAAGCCCAATTTGGAACTTTTGGTGCGAAAGATAGCAGGGTAGGAGAAACCGAAGGGCGGGTACTACACCACAGTCATAGGCAACATTTGAGTCCTTCGTATACTACTTGTACACTCTTAAAGTTTATGTATATAATGTTTTTGCTATATATAAGATCCATTGCATCCCAGGTGGAGAGTAAGGGTTGCATTTTTTATTCTACGACATTTTTTATTCTATTGATTCGATTTAGTAAAACATTAGGACAAGACAAAGTGAGTTTGTTTGCGTTATTTGGAATCGTATGTTGGTTTCCGTAGAAACCCACTCTTCGGGTATTATGATTAATTTGCAAAATGTTAAGTCCTTTAATTTTCAGTTAGTATAGGTAGTAATGCGATGGCGAGTATGAATAGTACAAGTGATGTTGGAAATTTTTACCAAAATTGAACGAGCCGCACGGGCCTCGTTTCATCGCGAACTTTCCGGGCATATTTTCAATGCAGTGAATGCACGATAGTTTCTTTTGGTGTTTTTTTTGCTGCGACCTTCCATCGTGACGATATGACTATCGATTTATGGCTGCATAAAACAATAATCCGTTTCCCTTCTTTTTAACTTTTAGATTTGGGCGTTATTAAAAAGAAAATTAACACTAGAATGAGAATATTTTTGAAGGGCACATTTTTACAATCGGTTCCCACCTGACTTTTCGGGACACCACAGCACTGCATGCTATGGAAAAAATGGTGGGGGTAACTGAAGAAAATAGGAAGGTTGGAGTGTTGTAAAACAAAACATGAGGAAGTGAAATGTGTGGTAAAGAAAAATTAACAACATGCATATATTGATTAAAAAGGTTTCGCATGATATCGTATTTTACATGAAGCCTGCCGCAGATGTAGGTTATTGACTGAGTTAATGGTCATGTGTCATGATGTGTGGTATTTAGCTTTTGCAGGAACTAGATCTTTATTTTTGCTATAAAATCTGTCATTCCCAGGCACCAAATGGAAAATTTGACTCGTCATCCATTCTCCATGGCCATGTGCTACTATACAGCACGTCAACGTCTGGGCTTCTATTATACAGCATGTAATTTTTTGTTTCAAATATGTCAATAATTAGCTATAAGCCTGACGATTACCCTAGTTTCCGCTTCTGATTAGCTTTTTAGACCATGCCATGGCATTGTATCAAGCAAGCTTTATACGATTACTTTTTTTCAAGTACTCAAACTCGGGAAACATAGAAAATACAGTTTCGGTCTTTCGCAAACAAATTTGTTCCTGTTAGTAGCGTTTCAGTTGCGCCTCTTTCTTGAGTTCCTTCGACATTACGTCTGACAGCTTTTTCTTGGTGACCTATAGCGCGCTCTTGTCCGATTACTAACAACTAACGGATTTTATATGGTACGGTGCATGTATCCTCTGTCTTTTTCCATGTTTTCTGATTGTTTTTTGGGGACTTTCAAATGTTTGTGTAGGCAAATTTTTTGTTACTACTCCCAGATCTTGGTTTTAAAAGAACCTTCTCGACGTTACACTACGCAACTTTTCTTACGACTTGAAATGGAATTGAAAATCCCAAAAGCGAAATTAGTTGCATAATCATTGAAAGTCTAATGTATGATCTCGTGCAGTCGTGCATATAAATTATGCTATTTGCAGGGGGCTTTTATATAAATGAGTTTGAGCTTTTATAGGCACAGTTTAGGAATAATTGTTGTCAATAATTTGCATTTGAATGCACATATAAGCTACATAGTTACACTTGTAAAGACGTTTTAAAAGATTTGAATATATTAGTCATTGAATCATCAGCGTTGCGTTGAAAGAAATCATGGAAACATGATATGCAATGAATAGGAAGCAATGTTACAATGATATTAATTCGGTCCTTGATGAATTGACCAAGGTGCCCAATAATGTTCATGATGCATCCATGCATCTGAATCTGATTGGTTGTTACCTGTATGCCCTCTGATTGGTTGTTACCTGTGTAACCTTTGATCTTTCGGGTGATATTTGATCTTATAGCTGGTAATTACTGGTTGGATGTGACTGCCAAAGTTTGGTGAGCGCTGTGTTGTTGTGTATCATATTCATATCATACTTAAATACTCAAAGATGGCATGGAACTTCAGCAGCGCTTCTCTGGCTACTGCAATCGCAATAATATTTCTCACGTTGTTGTGGAAGATGGTGAATTACCTATTAAGTAAATCAAACATTCCAAGCCCTAAAGGAGATTGGTTTATAATCGGGCATCTCTTTGAAATTAGGAAAAGCAAAGACATCATCGAAACAATCGACAATTGGGCGAGAACGTGTGGACCGATTTTTCAATGTCGCACGCTTGGGATATTTGGTAAGTACGTGGATAATGAATGTTGTTGTTGTTCCGAATGTGTAGTATTGCCATGCATTAAAAGAATAGGCTGCATCGAGCGCTGTATAAGGCCCGTTTCACACAATTTTATCAATATAGAGCGTTAAGTAGGGATTTGACCTTTCACCCATGTTGCAGTTGCCTGTCTTTGATTTCCTGGTTACTTGATGGTTGGGCAATTAAGGCCCAATTTACACTAAACCCAAATAAAACTGAGTACGGGTACCAATTTTTGCCGTGCCTTGCCGATAAATCGAGTGAAGTGTAAACGGGGCTTAAATCTCACATTTAAACCGCCATATATCTCAGCGAGATATACTTATCGAGATTACATGAGCCCGCGCCGTAGATCTATAGAGATTACATGAGCCCGGTTACCGAGATAACTGTGGTTTACCCCGTTTACACACGACTGTCAAATTAGACGCGGATTCGGCCTCAGATTTGGCTTCAGATTGGGCCTCTTATTGGGCCTCAATTCAACTGTGTTCAATCACACAAAAGTAGAATTTGGTTGTTTAATAATAACTTTAATAATAAAGGTTTTTTAGGCAATAAGTTTCCGTTGTTTTGTGTCCGTCGTTCCACACTGTTGAACAATATGTAAAATAAGGAATTACTAAAGAGTTGTATCTACAGATGTACGTATATGAGGTACTGAAGAGTTGTATATACAGTTGTAGCTACATAATATATGTAGTGCTAAAGAGTTGTATCTACAGATGTACATATTATATGTGGTACTAAAGAGTTGTATCTACAGATGTACATGTATGTGGTACTAAAGAGTTGTATCTACAGATGTACATATATTGGTAATAGTTGCATACTCAGTTTAACAGGGTGTATAAAAAATAAGACCTGCTTAATTTAAATGCCTGTCAATTTTCCACGCCCACGGGTGCGCAAACATGCACAATCGAATATCGTAACCTCAGGGGTACCTCTATTGTTTTTAATCTTTATTAATATATGCCTAATAATGTAATATCAAAGGACACGTCTTTACCACTCTTTGCAAATGACTCTAAGTGTTTTCATTTGATTCTTGGACAGAATGATGGGGATGAATAATTTATTCATATATGGTCACAATCTTGGGGAATGGAGTTTAATATAGTAAATGTAAGATTCTTAGAGTTGCAAGGATTAAATCTGTTACTGAGAGGGATTATTATCTTGGAGGAGTAAGGCTAAAACGAGTAGTTGTTTAAAAGGATCGTGTTGGTGTTTTGATCAGAAAAATGTAGACAATTTTGAAATATTTAGTAAACTATAAAGTTACCGAAACGTCGGAGAATCTTGCAAATATGGGTACGTTAGCATCGTCAGCTAAAAACAGCAAATTAATTCGCCATCGTCAGCAAATTTAACCTAGAAAAACCACTGATCTGAAATAAGACTGGATAACGCATCTATAGAAGGCAAAAGTGAAGCCGGAAGTGATCCGGCTGCCACCCGATTCAAAGCCCCCACTTTCGTATAATTTAATATAGATTTCTATTACAGAACCGTAGTTTTTTGCGTTTTTTGCTTTGTTCACGTCTCTATCCGGGCCAATTTTAGAATCACAAACATAGAAGCATAAGAGAAGAAATTTGAGCAAAAATTTGAAATATTTTGACTTCATAACATTTTTTGCTCAAATCTCTTCTTGTATGCTTCCGTGTTTGTGATTCTAAAATTGGCCCGGATAGAGACGTGAAGAAAGCAAAAATGAAAAAAGCTACGGTTCTGTAATAGAAATCTATATTAAATTATACGAAAGTGGGGCCTTTGAATCGGGTGGCAGCAGGTCACTTCCGGTTTCACTTTTGCCTTCTATAGATGCGTTATCCAGTCTTATTTCAGATCAGTGAGAAAAACAGGAGAGGTGTTTGTGAAAACCTCATTTTGGCTTGTGCAAGCATGAATGACTTGTTAAAAATGAATTTTGATTTTATGGAATGATTTAATGCATGAATGATTGCTTGGGTGATTATATATACGCTAAAAATGGTCTTCGGGTAACTGCAAAGGAAAAACGCACCGGAGTCAAATCAGGACTTAATCAGTGACGTAACTACAACGATAATTGTGGGGGTGCATGATGGAGAGGGGGATGAATATTCATCTATTCAGTTCTGCTTGACGGATTTCTTTTGTAAGTGCAACAGCTTACAATCGAAATCCGTCGAGCAGAACTGGATATACTTACTATATGTTTGATTACAGTGAATATTCACCCCGCAATTATCGTTCTAGTTACGCCCTTGACTTAGGACGATTCTATGCGATGTTTTCATCACTTTATAGTATGCAAAGTAGTTCAAAATTGTTTACTTTTTCTGATACACTCTGTATGGCAAGCGTTTGTATGATGAAATTGCGAGCAAAAAACACGCGATGCTGACTTAAGGCGATTCTCCATTTCGTTCGCCCCGCCCGCGCGGCCGAAGCGCGCTTTGTTTTTCAGGCCGGTCACGGTTGTATAGCTAGAATTTCAAAGGCCGCTTCGCCCGCGCGGGTGAAGCGGACGGTAATGGAGAATCGAATGTTCCATTCGCTATTGCGCACGCGTCGGTAGAAAAAGTTAACCCTGGAGGCCAAGACAAAGTGTTTGACCTGCAAGAACAGGGCCGTAGCCAGACCGCTTAATTGGAGAGGGGGGCGTACAAAAGAAATCAGTCGAGCATAAGACGAATATATGAATAACACCCCCCCTTGGGAACACATGTCTCCAGGTTCTCTTAGGCTTGACAACTTAAGCGTTAACGGTAAGCTCTATGAGAAGTAATATCGATTTTATTCAGGAATGAAGACTGAATAGTCGTCGCTATCAGTTTTATTGAAGCTTATTATTCCGGTGCCAGCGACGGAATTGGAAATTCGCCCCGGTTTTGTTTTGTTGTTCTTCTTGTTAATTTTTTTATTTTTCGTCGTCGCAAGTCTGAAATAGCGCGAAACATTCTAGTATTTGAAATGTGTATGTAATCGTGTTTATATACGTTCCAGTCTTATCTCTCAAGAGTTGTGGTGTACAGCTTTGGCTAATTTTCCGGTTTATTGCTTGCGATGCGTAGCATAGCAAGCTTTAAAATGGGCATTTTTTTTTTTTTTTTGTTTTTATTTTTTGGGTTCTAGATAGTAGACCTCCGCTCGGCCACGGGGTATAATTATTATTCAGCAACTCATTATTATTCAAGCGACTGATTATTATTCAGCCAAAAGTCTTACATCTTTTAGCTGTTTGACCTCCCCCCCCCGGATATTTAGTATCACACCATACAGTCGTCAGTTTTTCGGAGTTTTTCGTAGCTTCCGTCACAGTCAAAACACGACGCTAATGATCTTTCATCATTCTTTCATCAGATATACGTAACGCCTTCGTATATATTACCGTGACTATTGTGTTTCGGGTAGCTTGTGGGAGACATTTAGCAAGCGTGCGTGTAATACAGAGCGCATGCGTCGTTGTAAAACATCAAGCGTTTGCACTGGACTTCGTTTTAAAAGGCTTTTTGTTAACTATAGACTAACGTCTATGCTCCCTGTACGACACGATTTTACATTTTGCAAACAATGGATAGAATTGTCTGTTCGGAGGCTTACAGTTATCTGGTCGGATGTCCTTTCAGCCAGCGAGCATTGACGACATGACCAAAGTTGGTTGAAACGCGTGCCTCTATCCGCATTCACATGATTTGTTGTTGTTTGGTTCTGTACCTTTACCTTATTTAGTTGCTGTGCTATTTGTATAGACTTGGTCATAGCACTCGGTCAAAAAACACTACAGGGGTCCAAAATTTTAATTGCAAAAAAGCTGAAGAATAAAGTAAAATTTTGGATCTATAATTCTCATATTCAGTTTGTAGCATAACTTGTCTCGGAAAAGTTAAACCGATACAACTGAATAGATTCTGCTTAGGCACTGAATACAATTGATGTTTATAGTGTTGTTTATTGTACAGACCAAAGACCTTCAATCGGAGTCCTTTCTATATTTATATACCATTTATTTGTACAGTAATTCCTAGTATTTGCTGGAGTTCATGGTATTTTTGTGTATTAAATTCAGAGTATAGTATAATACATCATTTAAAAACAAGCATCACTGAAGTCACTGAAGCTCAGTGAAGTAGTGTGACTTCCTCTATTTATTAACATAACTGTCATCTTTGGCATGGATTATGGGAGTGGGATACGTTTGTTTACGCATGCATGTGATGGTACATTAGAGGAAATAATGTGCGTTGGCATTAGAATCTCTACATTGACGTTTATAGCATCGTAAAACTGCATGGCCACGTATACCACGTATTAACACCAGTTTAGACTATGTGTAAAACAGCAATAACTATTCAAAGTTTATTAAAACAGCCTTTTGAACGCCAAAACTTGTGAACATATTTCGATATATGCTTAGTGTATATATTATGATCGTGAAGCTGTTTGCCGTTTGTTCAACGGGCTCATTACTATAATAGAAGCGGTATATACTCTCCACACGAAGTAACTTCCTATAAGGTAACGTCACAATTACTATAGTTTGTAACTCGCGCTGGCCAAATATATTTGTTGGCATACAACAAAATCAAGGTTTATTTACAGTGAATCTGGTCTATTGGTGAGATTGTTCGCCAAAACCTGAAGGTATGCTGTACAACTACGGTAGTTCATGACTAAAACTCCTTTTTCGGGTGATTATAATTAGTGTTTGTCACTGATCTGGTGTTGGTAGCTAAATATAATTATCCACGTACAAATAAATCATCATGCATGACATATTTAATACTACTTGCGGTCTATTAGCGCGAAATATTATTTTAGCACTCGGTGCAATCTAAAGGCGATTTTCCACTTACAGCGAAATCGTTCGCTAGCGAAATATTTGCATATTTTCTTTTGAATTGAAAACAGTCAAGTCGCACTAATTTATTTATGCTGTTAAAATTCAAAAGAAAATATGCAAATATTTCGCTAGCGAACGATTTCGCTGTAAGTGGAAATCCGCCTTAAGCCTGGGCGGACATTTCGACTCCGCAGAGGCTGTTGGTGTATGAAAACTAAGAACGTAATATAAATGAAAAACAGCATTTTTGAATCAATATTTCTCATTTCCATACATCAACAGCTACTTCTGTAATTGCACCATGTAATCGAACCCTTAGTACAATCTAATTGTGGTGCTATCGTAGCTATATTGTTCGTAACTACAGCCTAGAATTCGCATCGCAAGCTAACGCCAGAGTGGGCGTCTTGTTTACATTTTTGAACAATAGAACTTCTATACTTTTTAAAGTACGATGTGCTTCTTGTAATATACATAACTGCTATTTATAGATAATTAAGCTCGGACAATAGTATTAGAACTGATTGACAGTTAGAGACAGAGAATAATATAAAAAGTGTATGAGAGCGAGAAAAGTAAGAGCACATGAAAAGTAATATATATAATATAGAGAAACAAAATATACAGTTATACAAATCGGAGCAAGGAGTGAGATCATTATACTTCTGAATTTCGTGATCGAACATTTATGGTTTCGCAAGGTATCTAAATGTGAATATTATGAACTGTATTGTTTATGTCAGAAGCTGTATATTAAAGACTGCATGGCACGTTCGCCGGAGTTAACGCCAGAACAGGCGTTTTGTTATAGTATAGGTCATAAGTGCTATGAGTCTGGTGTTATTTTATTTTTGAGGTAAGCCGGTAACACATGTGGTGCAATTTTTAACCAATTCTATATAGGTAAAACAGTCTACGTGGTTAGTGATATTGAAGCTGTAAAACAAGTACTGGTATCCAAGTCATATAAATACGGCAAACCTGGCTCGCTACCAGCTATCCCTTTCCTCCCAACAAAAAGCCTGGTGTTTGCAAATGGAAAAGAACACGTCAGAATGAAGAAAATGATTAAACCCATATTTAATGTGAGCAACTTGAAATCGATGCCTAAAATTTTTGAGGAAAAGGCCAATTTACTAGCAGAGGTAAATAATATTTAACTTGTTTTTTAAAATTCACGGAAATCCTTATAGCTTGTCTTTTATTTTGGAAGTAAAGATATCAAAGAATAAAAAACACAATACCTTTTGAAAAATTCATAAACTGCGCAATTTGAACAATTTATAAATGTTGAATAGGAGTTACGCGTTGTTTCTGAGATTTAATCCTACGAAATTTTCTTTTCAGTATTGGGTAGACACAATAAATGGGACTTCAAAGAGTAACAAAGAAAGTCGTTTGCCCGTGGAAAGCGATTTGTCTCGCTTGACTTTAGATGCGTTAGGTAAATCTGTATTCGGCTGTAACATTAACTCCATAGAAAACGACGATACTTCAGAAATTCGTGCATTTACCGATCTGCTCGATGGTATAAATCCTTCAGTAAATACATTGATGGGACGACTCTTGAGCTACTTCCCATTTCTTCAATGGCATACAGAAAGTCTCGAAAAACGTCGAAAAGCAATGGAAATCATTACGAAACTCGTGAAACAGGTTAGAACAGCAACTATTCCTCTGAATTAGCTTATTGAATTGATATTTTTTATGTAGCTATATAACGTCGTCTACATCCCTAAGAGCGTTATAGTAATATGTTGAACCAAACACAGTACTAAAATGCGGTGCCCGCAATGCTTGCCTAGAAATAAAACGTCCGCTCATTTCTAACGACATCACCAACTTACATTCTCCTGTCGACCGCAGCCTGGTTGGTTGGTACATTAAGGTCAAAATTGCGCTGTTTTAAAATCTTCAGAAATAATATATTTAGGCTAAAAATATTATCTAAAAATACTATCAAAATGAAGAGAAACGTGAGACGAATAAACTGGTGTAGAGCCGGAAACTAGAAAAGCAACGATACAGAAGTCAAGGATTAAGCGTATTGCATTTTTAGTTTGTTTAATAATTTTGAGCGATTTGTCATAAAGTTCGCTTATTGAAACTATACTTTAAAACCTTCGAAATAGAATATATTTGGCTCAATGTACTATAAAATAAATCGTAATGTAAGACCGATCCACTTATTTAAGGACGAAAATTAAAAGAGAAAACCAACGATATGAAAGATATCAAAGACCAAACTTACTATTACTAGTAAAGTATAGCATGATAGTAATTTTGAGCGATTTGTCAACAATTCAATTTCGTTTGTCTTTCAAACGTCATAAATCGCTGCGAATACTCTTGTTTAGTAATATATCTAAGACCTGTAAGTATAATTTCTTACGCTGAATCGAATGGTGGTATTTTTGTCCTTCTTGGGTGCATAAAAGCAGAGATACACGCAATTATCAGAGTTTGAGATTGAAATTGAAAAAAAGAACGTTCCTTTAAAAAAGGAATTTGGCAAACGTACAACAAGATTAATAGTAATAATTAGGAAAAAATTCCAAGCATTCCAAGCATGTCCAAGGAATTTTTACTAGGCGATTAAGGAAACGTATTGATGCGAACAAACAAACTCACAGGCAGAATATAATGCGGTGCCAAACTTGGCGCGGGCACCGCAATGCCCGATGTTGAGTACGTAATCCGAATAGCAAGTCTATCTGATGTGATTTTCCTAAAACGTGTCAGAAAAATATCATCAGATGACCTTGAGATTAAGTGTACCGGTTCTAAGGCAATAGTTTACGCCTCTTTTGCGCTAGGTAAGGTATGATAATTGATGTACATATTAATTAAGAGCGATATTTCTTCGTGCATTTTTCGAGTAGACCCAATCAGTGTAAACGATTTGGGGGAAGGAGAATTTTAAAATTTAAGTTTCATATTTAAATACCGGTCTTTCCATATTTAAATACCGGTCTTTACCTCATGTCTATGCATGGTGTTATATATCAAGGTAAATTGCTGAAATCCGAAAAACCGTTAAATATAAAATGCTGTAGACAAAATGTTACCTCACGCACCTACATTTGTTCATAAAATCTTAAGGTATGGCGCTAGGTTTCTAACGCGTAGTTTAGTTATCGTTAAAAAGCGCGAACGGCGACGATAATTTGACGGTTTTAGTACACCTTTAATCAATTTTATGTGCATGCATAGACAATCGCAGGTAAACTTGAAAAGAAAATCGACCAGAGCACCGCACAAAAGAACCTGCTAGATCTTCTTCTCGAAGCGGTCGATGACGAAACAGGTGAAGGTATGGATGAGGAGGAATTATTTTCTCAGGTGTTTCTATTTCTACTCGCTGGGTACGGAACAAGCGCGACCACCTTGTCATGGATACTTTTTTTCCTTGCCCAATACCCTGAGGTACAAGAAAAACTTCGCCAGGAAGTTGAAGTTACATTAAATGAGAAAGAAGAGTGCTGGGAAACCTATGATTCGATGAAGTACCTTACATCCGTGATTAACGAATCACAGCGTCTTTGTCCTGTCTCACCTCTGTTTCGTAGAGTAGTACTACGAGAAGACAAAATCTTAGGTCACAACATACCTGCTGGTTCCTTGGTTTTGGTACCCGTTTTCTCTCTTCATCGTAAACCAGAATATTGGTCGGATCCAGAAACTTTCAATCCGGAGAGATTTTTGGAGCCAAGTAGGTGACATTGAAAATGTGTTTTTAATTACGATTCATTAATTTTTTAATAATATTAATTTGGCTGTTTTGGTAAACTAACAAAATTACGTAATATATACATCTGTTAATTATGCGTGGAGCATATAGCTAGCTATATTTTATGGTCATTACTAGAAATCACATTAGACCTGGTGAAGAATTGTCAGATTTAGGTCATTTTTAAGGCCTGTCTTACCGCCTGCGATATTCGCGTGATAAGAGCCAGCCCTAGCTGCTTTTAAAAAAACGGAGGTTAAACTTCGGCCTAACTCGGTCTGACAGACATTTCTTAAGATTTTTTCGATTTTTTTATTGTGTTGTCCTTCTAGCTCAGCTCAAAAAATCTCGTTCGGAAGCGAACGGCCACTGCGAAGGTATTTTTTCTCTTGCGGTTGTCTGCGGATTCTATCGGCCGATTGCAGCCGAACTGCGACCTAACCGCAACCGCAGTGTTAGGTTACTTCTGGAAAGTACTTCTGGATGCTGTATTTCAGCTAAGACAGATTACTTGTGTTTTTGACTGTTTCAAGCATTCAAGTATATCGTTATTTACATCTGCCTTGCACGGATAATGCAGTTCTACTGCTTTATTCTTAAGGAAATACTCTATTTTAATCAATTTGAAATATATGACCGGTTTGACAATTTTAGCTGCTTAAAGGGATACGGCAATATAATTATCTTTGTCTATTTTAAAAGAACGTCTTGATTATGTACAAAATTCGTTTACGGATTTTTGTTAACTTTATTACTTCAAATTCAGTGAAGCCAATGGACCTTTTTCATAATGACGTCAAACGCGGAAAGTCTGATGTTACACAAAGTTTGATTGGCTCGATAGTTTTGATCCAGTTAGTATGAAGCTAACTCTCCTGAGGAAGGCCCTCAGGTCAAAACCTCAAGAAGTGTTCTGTCTATTTAGGCAGTTGTTATACCACCTTCGATGCTATGATATTTTTTAAGCGTTAACCCTGCTTTTGACGTCACGTAATTAGATCTCGTTATAAAACAAATGGTGGATATATCTCGACAGTCGATTTTTTTATCGCCAATATATTGCGAAGTAAGAAAGATGAACAAATTTTGTAAAAAGGCTCAATAAGAAGTGCAAATTTTCTTTTCAACAAAACAGAAATACTGTTTTTGTCATATCCCTTTAAAGGAAATTAAGTGCCCTATGTTAAGGAGTAATGACTATAGAAAATACTTTTGTAGGTTTACTGAAACTTAAAGGTAGATTACAGTTGGTAATGTAAACAAACGCTGAATGTTTACATCTGGCATCGCTATAGCTATCTATTAAAATATCCTGTCCTGTCAGAATATTTATTACTATTTTAGTTCACTATATTCCTAAATGAATGAGAGTTTATGCTCCAAGAAATCCAAAATATACGAAATATCGGCAATTTCTAAATTATGGCCGTCCCCCAATGTTATGAGCAGAACCGATGCGCAGAAGCCGCTGTAACCTAGCTGTAAGTGAGTTACGTTTATTTTTTAGATAGACAAGATAATCCCAACCACCGTTATGCATTCATTCCATTTTCCTCTGGTCCTCGAAGCTGCATTGCCTATAGATTTGCTTTGATGGAGATGAAAATCGTACTTTCTATCCTTATCCGAAAATTTTCATTTTCAATGATTCCTGGAATGTCGTTTAAAGGCTCCATGTTCGGTATCTACAAACCTACGCCCAATTTGGAGCTATTGGTGCGAAAGATTGTAGAGTAAGGGGAGATCGAAAACCAAGGGTAGGTCGCGACTACTTTTATTTATGAAGATGTAGCCATCTATACAACTTTAATATACTAGACATTGTTATATAAAGTTAAAGGCATTGTTATATAAGTGCTGTGTATTTTAAATGTGATTGGTACATTCGTAGTCACATGACTTTAAATATAAATGCAGTGTTTCCCGCCAGGGAAATAAGTGAAAAGTTGTTGCCCGCATATTGTCATGACAAAGTAAAAGGTTTTTTTGAAGTGAAATTGTTGGGTAACATGAATGTTTTTGTTCTTATATAAACAACAAAGCATTCAATGTGCACTACCTCGGGAAATAGTGAGTTTTGATTTTCCCTCGAGTCTCAAAACTCGGCAGCATACATTAAGTGTATAATGTACTTGACAATATGCTAGTTGTAATCTCCACTTTTCTATATACTAGCCACTCTTGATCCATAAACGCTTTATTTGTTAGCGAAGAAACAGGGTTGCCTTTTTTTTCAACCATCAAAATTTTCTTAGTTGCATCTCCCCTGACTATGAGCGCTTAGTGAAATGGTGAAACCGAACATATATTTTGAATTGAGATATATAGTATTTATATAGTAAATATAAGTATTTCGTTCAAAATAAAGCGCTGATACTCCATTTTCGGTCCATGAAAATGAAGATATACTTAAAAGCAAGTTCTTGAAACGCTCTCATAAGTATACCATTAATCATTCTGTTCTGAACTTCAACAGGACGTCGGGACCGGTCTGGCCGTTTTTCCGTATAATAGAAAGCACCCTGTGATTTTAAGACAAGAACATTTATCAAACAGACGTCCCTCGACTTAGTCATTTCCAATCTAAATAAAGCATTTTGGTTGAATCTTCTAGCAAAAAGAAAGCTTGAGAAACAAAGGCAAAAGAAAAAAAAGTTGACTCAAGACACAAAAGCACCATGCTTTGATTTATTGAAAGAGAATTTTGTAAGGGTTAAAACATTAATTCATGGGAGCACTTATATCCCACTTGTATTTTTTTAATTTTGACAAAAATCTCTCACCTAAACTGTAAATTGGATTGTCAGCTAATTTGCTTTACGATTCGTGGCGGCTTTTTGAAAGAACCGCGGGTTGGTCCGGTGATTATGGCATAGAAATCCGACTTCGCTTGACCAATCGTGTGTTAGCTGCGAGGATGTTTTTCCTCAAAAGCTTCAAGAAAAGAACTAGGTAAATCATTCCGGTTGTCTAATTGTTAGGACAATTTTATAGCAACTGCTAAGTCGATGGTCCGAATCCTGTGAAAAATTTTTTTTTTCATTTATCTATCGATATATCTATCGAGTTATAATTGGTACACCTGTCGATTTTATATACACAAGCGCCAGATATGAGGTATGCTGCAATTTCATTGGTTGGCTACTAGACAGATATTAGCTCATATCTGTCTAATAGAGAAAGTAAACAAAATGGCCGAAAGATTTGGGGAGTTGAGTGAAATAGAAATCCAAGCTTTCCTATCAGCTCATATACGACTCGAGTTCGCAGAATAACCGTTAAATATTACACCATAAAGACAGATAAGATAGGATCAATAAGCCTTTGTCACGATGACGTTTTTGGGGTACTTTCAATTTCCCAAATGGGTTTAGAAAATTCTAACAACATGAAAAGCAAATTTTTTAGAATCAACAGACCATTTGAAGAATAAATTCAGTTTAAAATTGAAGACAGTCACCATTACGAGGTCTTGCGCTTACGGTTTTGAATAAAGTAGCCAAAAAATGGCGCATATTCCCGATCGTGGTCTACTATATTCGCCGATCGCCGGTTCGTGTGATGTATTGGTATATAAGGACACTGATATCATGTGTTGTAAATGAAAATCTCGAATCCTGTATATATTTTCATTCAGAAACCAAAAAGAAAGGAATTAGATAAAATAGATAGCGCTCGTTGCCTATTACATGTTCTTGCGATTTATTGGTGGAGACAATGGACTCCCAAGTTTAAGCCGATGGTTCGAATCCTTGTTTTTTCACTATGACCTTAAAGAAAATTATTAGGTGAAGTGAATAACCGTCATTGCGAAGCACAAGTTCTTGATTGATTGATTGATTGATTAATTGATTGATTAAGTCTTTAATTGTTTATTATAGGTAATGGCTCACAGCAAACATGTGGGCTTACAATTTACAACTATACAATTAAAAAAGCATATTTAAAAACAGTATACAATTACCCACAAAAAAGTCACACTAAGTTAAAAAGGCACCTATTTATAAAAACTCTTGTAAATCTTGCCGTACGAACCCTTGGTAATTCATAGTCATGTCCACGATTACGTAACTCCAATTTGGGTGGTAACAGGGCGTGTAAGGCGTGATTAGGATCTGTTTTTTTCCATAATTTAACATCTTTAGTATTTAAAATATCCAAAATAGATAATTGATTAAGAAGATATCCATATTTATATGCCCGATTTAAAAATTTATCAATTTGATTAAAATACTTTGAGTAAGACGCGCATCCCCAAATGACCCTTTCTAAGCATATTGATCACTGTCAATAAAGTTTTGCATGGATGGAGCTAGCTCGTTTTTATAAATAGCTCTGTCGAACAGGCGCATTGTTATATTGGTTAAGGAAATAGGTCGCAGCTGTTTAAGTTCGGTAAGGGGGCTTTCTTTTGGGAGTGGTAAAAGGTTTGCCAATTTCCATATGTCCGGCACAGCACCTACTTTGATCGATCTATTAAAGATAGTTGTTATCACTGGCGCGATATGGTAAGCATAATCGTTCCAGAACCAATAGGGTAAAACGTCAGGTCCAGATGCAGTTCTTTTTTGGTTTAGTAACAACTGACAAACCGTATTTACTAATAGTTCTGGAATTCTCGTACCACTAGGAATGGGAGCTGGAGGCAGAGTGGAATAGTCATTATCCAAATTCACTTTGGAAGTAGTCATTCATATCCTTTGGATCAAAAATAGTACTTAAAGGTACCTCGGAATTTGCACGCCCAGTTATATTGTTAACTAAAGACCACCATCTTTTTGATCCAGAACTTTGATTCTTATCATTACCAGAAATTTGCGACATGATAATTTGCATGTATACTAATTTGCATTTAACTTTCAGCATAATGGCCTTCAACTTTTACTATAAAATACATATAGTAAATATACAAAACTTAAAAATGCCGTTGCCTTGGACCTTGCCTACTGTTTGCCGACCTCTAGATCGGTAGAGTAGCTGTTTAGAAACGTTTTGGTGACCAAATTTTTTAGCTTGGGCATTTCTACACTCTGCCAAATTTAAAAATATATTGCTCAAAGTTTTATCCGTGTTCTGTCAACGAACTTATAAAATCGCTCACATTGATTCGAATATTTCGATTCAGGTAGTTGATGAATTGACGTGTAATATACCAAAAAAATTGTTAAAGATATTGTCTTTCGTATTTGTGTATAAACTTTTCTGTACGGCTCGGATTTTCACTGCAATCACTTTAAAAAATATTATAAGTCTTATCAGGAACTTGAACAATACGAAGGCTATACACACATTTGTTCACAATCAGTTGGCCGAACGTAGAAATACCTAAGGTAAGTAATTCGATCATTAAAACGTTGGGAAACGGCTGTTCTATTGACCCAGAGGTCGGCAAACAGTAGGCGAGGTCTAGGAAAACGGCATTTTTGAGTTTTGTATATTTGCTATATGTATTTAATAGTAAACGTTGAAGGCCATTATGCTGAAAGTTAAATGCAAATTAGTATAAATGCAAATTATCATGTCGCAAATTTCTGGTAATGGTTCTTGTTTGACTGCCTAAAGTTGGTTTTCGCGAACGAAGCTATTTATTCTTTCTTCCAGTACGTAATTTCTTTCATTGTCATTCTTACGAATAATACTCTTCCTTAACTTTAAAAAATGCTTAACTATCGAAGAAAAGGAAGGGGGATCTCTACTAGATACACGTGTCCTAATAGTTGAAAAACATTCGTTATAAATCGGCCATATCTTATTATAAAACCCATAATCATTTTGTTAGGACAGATTCCACCGTTAATATCATCCCATTGAACCTCCTCCATTTTTTTGTAACATTCTTAACTTATTTTGGTGTCTCAAATCGCGAAACTCTACCGTTTTTCTTATAGCTTTCTTCTTTATCACAGGTTTAACCAGAACAGCCAAATGGTCAGAACGCACCAAACCTTTCACAGCACTAACCTTATATTATTATTATTATTTATTATATATATATATATATATATATATATATATATATATATATATATATATATATATATATATATATATATATATATATATTTAACCAGGATACCCACATCACCTTATAGTGTTTTTCAGTGTGGTCCGTAACTTCTATCATATATGCAATTTTAAAATACCACATAACAACATATAAAAATAAATGTTCAACGTTTTCTAATAACCATAGACATAGACATACACATACATCAAAAAAGACAAGGACAACGACGTGGACATGGACATAGACAAACAAAAACGTATTGAGACATGCAATTAACAATAGTTATATATGTAGTGTGTCAGTCAATGTCACTTCAGGGACGACTTAAAATGACTCAGAGAGATAAAGTTTCTGATGGAATCGTTCAAGTCGTTGAATTCTTTCGAAGCTTGGTACGTAGGTTTATGTTTACCCCAGTTGGTGTTGACTTTCGGAAGATGAAGGTTGTTACACGACCTTGTGTTGCGGGAATGGACGCTGCTGTTGGTTCTTAGGTTAAAGCCGAAATCGATCAGTCCATTGGTGCATTTGTAGATGAAGATACATCGATGTTTATATCTGCGAGAAGAGAGTGTTGGCCAGTGTAATGTAGCGAGTGCTTCTGTTGCTGACGAAAGAGGAGGGAGGTCTAGAATCAATTTAGCTGCTTTATTTTCCAGGGTTTGTAGGGAATTCATACACTGTTAATTTGAAGGTGTCAATTTAGCACCAAAAAAGGTGTTGAATGAATATGGCAAAAATAACACCCAT